TCTTTGCGGCTAATTTTTATTCAAACAAATTTCATTAGTACATACACAATGACATTTAAATCTAAATTTATTAGATTTGAAGTTTAGACAATGAAAAAATAACTTTGATTTTGTAACTGAAGTGCTTCAGAAAAAGGTATTGAATTCATACATTAAAACATAAGAAATGACAAATCAAAGGAAAATTATTTGGAAAGAAAAAGGATATATAAAATTTTATCAAAATATTTGAAGTTAAAGAGTTTAAAAGTTACACATCAACAAATAATTTTTAAATAACTCTTACATTGCTTAACCGCGTGAATCTTATCAGAAAATAGAATTGGGTTTGGAATTGTATTTTTTTGTCTACCAAGGAGGTTTTTTGTGAGTTTCAAGGAGTTTTCTTAATATTACAATAGTATGTATGAGATTATTATTTTTAAATTAATATTATATTGCTAATTCATATATATGGTGCATATTATATTTGTTTTAATGCTAAAATAAGTGAAAGTTTATTATAAATTCAATAAAAAAAATTTAGAAAGTAATAAAAAGTAATTGCATTGTGTAATTTAATGTCAACAAACATTTAAATTTTGAATTCACTTCACATGATCTAAAAATTGTTCAACTAATGTGTTTTGTATTTAATATTGTTTAATATTTTACAAAATCCAGTACTAATTATCTAATAAAGATAATTAAACATTACAAAACAAGGAATTTTTATATAATGAGTATCCTAAGTCCTTAAACAATGACTTGTTCTATTGTTTGATCATTTGTTTAAGTTATGTAAATTATTTTTGATATTTCTTCTTTTAAATCTCCAATTAAGTATTACATTACGTAAATTAAGGCTGTATATTAATTTTGAAAACTAAAAGTTAAGGGGGGCGAACATAAATATATCTAATTAACGTTTGAAAATTTTATGAAAATATTACATATATACTAGAAAATTTTGAAAGTCCAAGGGGGGCGGTCACCCCCCGCGCCCCCCTTAAATCCATCCCTGTGGTCCAGCCTGCGAGCTGATCATTGTTTGAAAAAAAATAGCGATTTAGAGTTTGAAATACGGGTATTTGTTTTCATGTCATATGATAGAAAAAATTTCAACAATCAACCACTAAGATTCGGTAATGCATTTATGGGCTTCAAGAATCTACATACATCTGATAATAATGTATTATCTTGGGACTTATGTGTAATTCTTCTAATTATGTTTTGTTATGAATATAGAGCATACGGCACCCAATAGGGTGTGTGATTATCTCCCAAAATAATATTGTTTGTATATGGTATCAGCTAGGGTTATCTAACCCTCTTCATCGATCCTATGGCCGGCCATAACATCACAGCCGCTGCCAGCATGTCCTCTGTTCTTCCTACGTCGGAACCGGCGCCCGCAGGACAGGAGCAGCCATCTACGATCATACCCGGAATATCCATGGCGCACGACGCATCGACTGGTTCCAGCATGTCGCGTCCCTCGGCGCAGACCCTCTCAGACGCAACATCAATTCGCTCTCCACTTCCGGCGTCTCTCTCTCAACGCATGTCGTCGATTCCACCGTTAGAATCATTCCGCTTATTTAATGTACCGGAACCATTCAGTTGGACGCCTACGCCACCTACTGCCCAGCCGAACCCCACACCTGCACTCCCGGACATTGGGAGGCTCTCTCTTGGATTCTCGGGTCCCACTTTTTCAGGCCAGCATGAAGTCGCGCCACTACAACCGGGCAATTCTTCATCTCTCCCAGGGTTTACTCAAGCTCCGAGTTTATTATCATCGATGGCATCTCAACTCGCATTTTCTACACCGAATGTTAATAATATTGTTACTACTCGTTTATCTGCGGTTGAAGATTACTTGCCATGGCGGACTCAGTTTGAGTCTTTTCTAGTATCCCACAGTCTTTTTGGGATGTTAGATGGCTCCCTTCCGATTCCGCCATCTACCATACTGGACTTGAGTAGGAGAGAAACGATTAATCCAGACTATCACCATTGGTTAAAAATTGACCAAACAGTCCGCTCTTGGATTTTTGCAACCCTGGCTAGAGATATTTTGATGGATGTTTATAACTTGAAGCACTCTCAGCTTATTTGGGATCGGCTTCAACAACGTTTTATGTCTGCCTGTTTTTCCCGATCCATAGAACTTAAACGTTCTTTATCACATATCAAAAAGAAATCTTCACAAACTATGGATCAATATTTACTTGAAATTAAGATTTTGGCAGACAATTTAACGGCCATAAATTCTCCAGTTAGTGACAAGGAGTTAATTGAATATGCCGTTCTTGGTTTGGGGCGTGGCTATGAGTCCCTTATCACGGCTATCAATTATTTTCCGGGTAATGCTACTTTGGATAATTTAAGGCCTATTCTTGAAGCCCAAGAGAAGACGAATGCTCTGTTCGATGCTCAGGAATCGGCACCCGTTCATCAAGCCTTTGCTGCGGCAAATGCTCCAGCAGGTTCTGGTGGCCGAGGGGGTGCTAGTCAATTCTGAATCGGCACCCGTTCATCAACCCGTTCATCAAGCCTTTACTAGAATTGACTCAGACAATGTTAATTGATTCCTCTCTTCCTAGTCAATTCTGGGTTGATGCCCTATACACCGTGGTTTTTATTATTAATAGACTCCCTACGCCTATTTTGAGTGGATTGACTCCTTATGAGAAACTTTTTAATAAAATTCCAGACTATAATTTTCTCCGTGTGTTTGGTTGTTCTTGTTTTCCAAATTTTATTGTTGCCTCTCACAACAAAATCTCACCGCGTTCCATGCACTGTGTTTTTATTGGCTATGCCCCGGGGTACAAGGGTTACCGCTGTCTTTCTCCTTCCACTGGTAGGGTCTATGTTAGTCGGGATGTTATTTTTCACGAGAATAATTTCCCTTATCCTACACTAGTTTCCAAACCTCCTGTCACCACCCCGTCCTTGCCTATATCCTGGCTCTCTTCATCCACACCAAACCACGTCTCCAGCCAGCCTTCTAACCACCATTATGTCCAAAACCTCCAGCCATCTTCTTCCCATATTCCTGGAGACACTACTGCCATTCCACCCCCCACACCCAATGTGCCCAAATCACCTTCCACACCGTCTACTCCCAGAATGCTCATTGACCCTAGTTTGGATGCGGTTAGCACACCAAACACATCACCTAGCCCATCTGCAAGCCCTACTGCCAGCTCACCTGATATACATCCTCTCTCGGACACCACCTCAACTAGCAAACCAGACACATCACCCAGCCCATCTGACCGCATCCCACCTGCTCCTATAAATATACATCCCATGCGTACTCGGACCAAAGATGGTATTTTTAAACCCAAACAAATTTTTACTCTTAGTGCTGTTTCTCCCCCAGATGATCCAACTTGTTTTACACAGGCTAATAAGAGTTTTATTTGGCGGGCAGCCATGGCGGATGAATTTAATGCTTTAATTGCTAATAAGACTTGGGATTTGGTACCTTGGGATCACACTAAAAATGTAGTTGGATGTAAGTGGATTTACAAGACAAAATATCTTTCTGATGGGTCTGTTGAGCGTCATAAAGCTCGGTTAGTTGCTCAGGGTTTTAAACAACAAGCTGGCATTGATTTCACTGAAACTTTCAGCCCTGTTGTTAAACCCACCACAGTTCGTCTTGTTTTGTCTGTTGCTATATCTTCCGGTTGGTCTGTTAGACAACTTGATGTGAAAAATGCTTTCTTACATGGTTATCTCACAGAAGAAGCGTACATGCGTCAACCACATGGCTTTGTTCATCCTTCCTTTCCTAATCATGTTTGGCGTCTCCGTAAGGCTCTATATGGTCTCAAACAGGCTCCTCGGGCCTGGTTTCATCGTTTTAGTGGTTTTCTGTTGCGTCATGGCTTTTCACAAAGCAGGTCAGACTCGTCCATGTTTATTTATCGTTCACGGTCGCAGACCGTTTATATCCTTTTGTATGTTGATGATATTATCATTACAGGCTCGTCTACATTGTTTGTTAAGTCTGTTATTCATACACTATCTCTTCAGTTTGCTATGAAGGATCTGGGTGACCTTCTCTACTTCTTAGACATCCAGGCTCATCGCACCTCTACTGGGATATTTTTGTCACAACCCAAATATATTTTTGATCTGTTACATCGTTTTCATCTACATACTGTAAAACCGGTGCGTACTCCACTTCCCTCACGCACTACACTCTCTCTCACAGATGGCGAACTTTTAGCTGATGCTTCTGAGTATCGCAGTATGGTAGGTGCACTCCAGTATTTAATTATAACTAGACCTGACATTACATATGCTGTTCATCTGGTCTCTCAGTTTATGCATGCTCCACGTACTTCTCACCTTTTAGCTGTCAAGAGAATTTACAGGTATTTGCAGGGTACAGCAACTCACGGCCTCTGACTTCGCTCTGGCCGAAATACATCTGTTATTATAGCCTATTCTGATGCAGATTGGGCAGGTTGTCCGGACAGCTCTCGTTCTACCACAGGTTATGCAGTGTTTCTGGGAGCAAATTTAATTTCATGGCGCTCTAAGAAACAAACTACTGTGTCAAAATCATCTACGGAAGCTGAGTACCGGTCCATAGCATACACGGTTCAAGACACTTTATTTGTCCGATCTCTTCTGGCAGACATGGGTATTCGGGTCTCGAAGCAAGTACAGCTATATTGTGATAATGTCTCCGCATCATACTTGGCCGTCAATCCTATTCAGCACGATCGCATCAAGCACATCAAGATTGATTACCATTTTGTTCGAGAGAGTTGCTCATGGGGATCTCGTGGTGAAATACATTCCTACTCAGTTGCAACTCGCAGACATATTTACGAAGAATTATCTAGTCAGAGATTTGAATTTTTACGTTCCAATCTGCACGTTGTTTCCCTGCACAGATTGAGGGGGTGTAATAATGTATTATCTTGGGACTTATGTGTAATTCTTCTAATTATGTTTTGTTATAAATATAGAGCATAGGGCTTTCTTGAATACGGCTTTCTTCCAATAGGGCGTGTGATTATCTCCCAAAATAATATTGTTTGTATATCTGATACTCGTTTTATAGCTTTCTTGAATTCGCATCTTTTAAAGCTATCTAGGCATTCTGGGGCATGGCTGCTGAAGACAGAATCAGTGGACTTCCTGGTGATATACTTGACCATATTTTGGGGCTTTTACCAATTCAAGATGCTGCAAGAACTTCTGCTTTGTCTACGGCTTGGAGAGATGTCTGGTTAAGTCTTTCCCAACTCATCTTTGACACTAACTTTTTTCATCACATCCGTGACCGCTACATTGGACAATCAGCGATGCTTGTAATCAACAGAATTCTCATGAGGCACAACGGACCTATTCGAAAATTTGGTTTCCATCTTTGCATTTTCTTTTGGGCAAGCAGATATACGAAGTATAGTTGGGTTGAATTTGATGATTGGTTACTTTATCTCACAAGAAATGGGGTTGAAGAATTGGACCTATCTTTTTGGTCATCTGCATATGCATATGAATTGCCCGATTTCTTATTTTTATGCCCAACTCTCAAGAAGTTGCGTCTTCATGGAGTGTATGTTAAACCAATAAAGGTTCAGTGCATATTTCCGAATGTCACTTCTCTTTGTCTTAGAGATATTTCTGGTTTCAACATGACTGCCCCAGAACTTAGAAGTTTAAAAATTTCCAATGTTACTTCTCATGGCATTCTTCCGGTTACCTTGGATTTGAAACCCATCTTTTCTCTTAATCTCGACAATTGCTCTGCCAAGGTACATTCGACACACATCTACTTTCTTTCTGGATTGCTATTTGTAGAATGTCTTTTAGAAAATTAGCTGACTCCTACTTGATTTTTTCTAGGATATCATAAAAGAATTTAGACGATTGGGTAAACAAGGAATTGTGTTCAATGTGGGTTGCCTCAACAATTAGCTGACTACTGTTTGATTTTTTCCAGCTTTTTATAAAGGAATTAACTAGATTGGGTAAACAAGGAACTACACTCGATGTGGGGCACCTGAAGTTGCATTTGGATGTCGAAGATGATGACATTTCTGCCTTCATTAAATTGTTGCAAATGTGCCCAAACTTATACAAACTTGATATAGAGCTATCGGTAAGCCGGTAATCTTATAGAAGGCACAGTTCTGTGTCATAGAGAACAACTATTCTATTTATCAAATTGTTCCTGTTAGTTTTTCCCTTTCCTTAAATTGCATTTCTCTGCTCTAAATAAGGGTTGGGCCAAATGAGATATATTATAATTTTTAAATGTTTTTCAGAACAAAGGTGTGGCAATTACTACAGCAGCTTCTTTGGAGCGTCCGGAGATTATTCTGGCTGAAACATGCCAAAGGGTTCATACTTTGAATATTTCTTGTGCGCTTAGAGGGTCAAGGCCGGAAATGATATTCTTTGAGTGGCTTGTTGCATGCTTTCCCATGCTTGAAAAGGTTTTCATATATCAAAGAAAAACATTCTGCTCCAACACAGAGTTTAAAAACAAGCGGAAGCTTTTGGGATTTGTCCAGGATCTTCAAAAGCAGATATTGCTTACACAGAAAAAGGTTGTTAGATTTGTAGTCTAGTTTAAGTATTTTCTAATACAGTACATTGCTATTTTTGAAGTCATGTGTATGTACTACTAACTACTCAGTATGTAAACTTTCAACCTCTAAATCTTGTTTCAAGTCATGTGTATGTGTATGTACTACTCAGTATGTAAACTTTCAACCTCTAAATCTTGCGGAACGTTGCCCATTAAGTTTGATGGGAAATTTTCACCACATCTAAATTCATTTTAGGGTGATTTCTCAATCCACTAAAGTGTTAAACCATTACTCCCTCTGTTCATGACTTCATGCTTAAACTTTCAAATTTCCTTTTTGGGTGTTCCAAAATAAACTTTCATTTTCTATTTTTGGTAATGAATTTGTGGTTCACAATGACTCCTAATCATTCTTACACATTTCTCTCGCTAGTTAGCTTTTTTGCCTTGTAAACGCCTTTTAAACACGCACGGTTTTTTGAATAAAAAATCACGTTTAAAATGAAAAATAATGTCGGTCCGTTTAAAAAGGTAAAAAACTCCCCCTTCCCGTATAAAATGTATTTTTCCCGTATTTTACAAAAAAATAGAAACATGAAATGAGTGAATATATTAAATGAATAAGAGATTAACAATATTTTAAAAGCAAAAAGAAACACCTCCTTCCCGCAACCCCTTGTTTTTGTATTATTACAACTATTAAATACTAAAATTAGTTGCATGACAGTTAAAGCTAGCATTCTAAAAGACTAAAACCTAAATGCTTTAGAGTACTAGTTTTCTGATGTTTCTTCAAACAAGCATATAAAAATTAAGGTTTTTCTACACCTGACATTTTTAGTATAAACTTTTACACATAAACAATAATGATGAGTTTAACTTGAGTGTAACTTGATGATCATATAAACAGCCCGTTTGGTGACCCCTTTTTCGGCTTATCAGGCTTATCAGCCATCTTTTTCATCAAACACGTAACTTTTGATCTCGCGGCTGAATTGTGTAATAAGCTGAAAAAGTAAGGTTGGAGTTACTTTTCTGGCTGTATTGGCTGAAGTTACTGTAGAGGATCATTTTAGCTATGTGTTCATATAATTTTTTATTTTATTTATTAATAACAAATATTTTAAATATAATTTTTTCAAGGATTAACAGAATCAACAAATACAGCCACTTCAGCCAGAACCAGCCAATTCAGCCAATTATGATGTTACCAAACGGGCTCAAAGATAATCATTTTAGTTCAATCACATTCTATTATTATGTCTTACGGACTATTTTTTGACATTATTTTGCAAAATTATGTCTTGGACTTGATTACAAATTTTATTTTTGTCATGACTTACGCAATTGCTGCAATTACGAATCATGCTTTTATATGGTAATAATGGGATTTTCTACTTTAATGTGTGTACTTTTATTTCTTTTTACTATATACGGAGTATGTTATTTTGTGAAGTCATAATTTAAATGTTCAAAATAATATGGAGTACCTCGAACTTTTGTCTGAATTTTTGTAAGAGATGTTATGTTATGCACATATACGTATTTATACGTTTTTAAAAACTCAACGTTTTTTTCAACGAATATTTGATTGTTTCTTTCATTCATGTTACCGAATAAAACGCATACGTATTAAAACTCGTTTCATTCTCGTACCGTATTTAACTAACTATGTTTCTCTCTACTCTACACAACTCTCCACCACACAAAAATACCCACAATCTTAAACCTCGTCCATATGTATTTTGGAAGTTAATTTAGGGATAGAAGGGAGTAATGCACTTAAACTGATGGTTATGAATGCTTGTGATTTTGTTCAGATTTCAATTGTTACACAGCTTTCTGTCTCTGGAATGTTATCCAACACATTTATGATATGTAGTATTTAATCTGGGAGGACTTATTGGGAGGCTTTCTATGATTATTTTAGCTTCGGAAGCGCAAGGGGTGAGCAAGCTAGGTTGCACATTTTTGTTTTTGGGACTGCATTTTTCGAATCTGCATTTTGTGGATATTCTAAGAGCGACTCTCTATTGACATTAAAACAATTGCTACTTCATACTAATTTAACAGTGTCATAAAATTTTGGTTTCCGGCCTAGTACATTTACCCTCATGTAATGCTGATGTGTTTAAAAATTAATTACACATTGTTTACATCGCTGTCTTCCGTTTACAGCACCCTTCACAGGGTGACTCGGCATATGCCAAGTAGAAATTGTAGAAAATATCCTGAAATTCCCGCCGATAAAAATATCTGAAACATTCCTTCCCGGCACATATTTGCAAGTAGCAACCACTCTCGAAAAATTATCTCTCCCACCTCACTTCCCCCGGAGTAAAGCTTCAGTAGGAATCAAATAATTATATTCAAAGAATTTATTAGACCTTAAAAATAACACATAATGAATACATGGTGATATAGGAATTAGGATCATTACCTTTATCTGTATAATTGAATACCCATATATCGTTGCATATATTCATCCATGTAGAGAGCTGTTGCTTTTGATCGGTCAAATAATTGATAAAGTATTCGGCGGATCTTTATGCCTTTTGGAGTTGAGGAGTAATATTATTAAATATTAATTCGAAAGATATATAGATTATATGGTGGTGGATACATGGGCTATGACATCATGCATTGGACATAATTTTTGAGTTTGAATGTCCACCTACATCACTCCCATATGAGAATCCCATATGAGGTGGATGAATATTCATTTAATAATGGACATGTATCAAAATCTGTAGGATGTTAACCGTAGAACATTGAGTTTAGTCATTAGAAAATTTGTAGGATCAAACGTATTTTGGCGAAAACACGTTTTGTCTGTAGTCTGTACAGACAAAAAAGGTCTACACAGACTGCGTAAAAGTGTGTACCCCAAATCCAATTCTTCATGATTTTCAAGTTCCACTAGCACGATGCACTTTGTAGTTTATTATTTCTTCAAAAGATTCAATTATTAGCATTTAACGGTTGTAATTTTAAGAAAATCGAATGTAATGTTAAGAAAATTTTAATGTATACACATCTACAGATGGTTATAAGGGGCGCGCGGGCTTTGGGCTTGATTTTTTGAGCCCGAGCAGTCTCGGGTCTGATCCGGGTCCAACGGCTATTTAAAAAATTTAATTAAATGGGTGGGTATCGACTCGGGTCTGACCCGAGATCGGTACTGTTTGGGCTCGGACCGGAATTGATACCAGAGCAAACGGGGTCGGTATAGGGCTTCAGAATCGAGACTGGGTGGGCCCAGGACCGACCCGGCCAGCCGACGTGTATATGTGTAATAGAGTAATTATTATTTAGTAGTTTCCTTGTATTAGGATTCCTTTTATATTATGTTTCCTAATCTAATCTAAACAATTCTCTATATAATATACACCCAGGGCTACCATATTGGGTAAGTCATTCCATTATTTCCACATGGTATCAAGAGCACTAGAGTTTTAACCTACTTGATTTTATTTTTTCGGTCCTATGTCCTCTGAGAAAACTGCCGCCGCTACCAGTCTTCACGTCACTGTCGCCGTGACAGAATCCTCCATGTAGAGCGCAGCCTCGACTACCACCCTGGCGCCGTCTTCCCTCTCAAGCGAGCAACCACGTTCGGGTTTCACCACGACGATTTCTTCATCTGCAACGTCGTCGTCTTGGGTCCCACCAATCTTCACTTGGACGCCATCCGTTCCGAGCATGCAGTCGTTGCCGCCTCCACCTTCCTTCGTCGTCGGAGAGTCCAGCAGCAACGCCGGCCTCACCTATGGAGGTCCGACGTTATCCGGCAGTCCAGGTTTGCTTCCGCCTTCATTCACTAGACCGGTTGGACGTCGGGAAGCCCCGCCAATCCCCACCTCGTTTGCATCTCTCAGTCAAGGTATGGGTTTTGGTGCCTCCTCTATCACTACTATTGTGACAATTAAATTGCTCGCTGTTGAAGATTACTTATCCTGACGTACTCAGTTTGAGTCTTTCCTGGTTTCTAATGGTCTTTTGGGTATACTTGATGGCTCCTTACCTACTCCGCTGTTATATACCTATGACTTATATCACACACAAACCATGAACCCTGAGTATTATCATTGGCTGAAATTAGATCAGACTGTTCGTTCTTGGTTGTTTGCTACTCTCTCTCGTGATATTCTTGTTGATGTGCATCAATTAAAGAATTCTACGGCCATATGGGAACGTTTGGAGGCCTGCTTCATGGCAGCCAGTCTGGCTAGATCAATGGAATTAAAACAAATGCTAACTCACATGAAAAAGAAAGATAATCAGTACATGGACCAATATTTACTTGAAATCCGGAAAATTGTTGAATCCCTGGCCTCAATTAACTCTCCGGTTTCTGACCATGATCTCTTACAAACTGCACTACTAGGGTTGGGTCCGGGATATGAGTCACTTGTGGGCCCCTTAACTCTATTTTCGGAGGGTCTCACGTTTGATAAATTGTGCACCAAACTTGTCCACTAAGAGCCCCGACTTCACTACCAACAGTGTTTGGAAACCACTGTTGGCGCCCCGGATTTTGCAGCACACGGCCAGCCTCCTGCTGGAACTGGCCAGCAGCAGCTGCAGCAGGTATCACCAGCCCAGCCGCAGTAGCACGGCCAGCGCAGAGGTCGCGGTCGTGGCAGGGGATCTCGGGGTCGGGGAGGCCGTGGTCGTGGACGTGGCGGATAGTACTACCCGCAGCAATATCATGGCGGCAACCAGCAGTACTACGGCAATGGACAGCAGCCGCAGCAGCCGTATGGGACCCACGACAGAGGCCATTTTCCATCACCACCTATGGGTATCCCGGGTACAGATAATTGTAATTCAGTTGAGTCATTGTTTTATACTTCTGCACCATATATTTTTTGTGCTAACTATGCTTCTGCAGGATCTTCACCCTTTGAGAATAATTTTGGTTATGTTCCTCCACCTGTTGTCTGTCAATTCTGTCATTCGCCAGGTCATTCTGCCGTCAACTGTCCGTCCCGTTTTGTTCAACCTTCCGCCCCTGCTTTAGCTGTTTCTACTGGAGAATCCTCTTCTTGTGTTTGGTACCTTGACTCTGGCGTTTCCGCTCATATGACCCCTACTGAAGGTATTTTAGAAAATAAATCAATTTATTCTGGACCACTAATTGTGAAGGTTGCTAATGGCTCTAATTTACCTGTTGTGACTGTTGGTGATTTAGCTTTACCTTCTCTGCCACATCCTCTTCATTTAAAACTTGTTTC